GAATGCTATTAAGTAGAGATTTCCTTTCATATCTACAGCTAAAAAAAACCTGATACATCAGTTCTGCTAGTAATTAATTTTGTTTTCATTATGTGCAAAGGTGTTTGTAATTTCTGTCTGTGAAAGTGTTACTTTATTTTTAACCCCTAATATGGTAACAGAGTTCACAGTAGCAGGAAGCTTACAGGTTGCTTTGCTTGGCATATCCTCAAAGAAGTATCCATAGAGTATGTTCTTTCTAGACTCCTTACTTTCCTTCACATAGTTTTAGGCTGTTCTTACTGTTCTGGAAGCTATATCATCACCAGCTTCCCTTGGATATTATTCCATAGCTTAAGGGATTATTGGTAAACAGAAAGGGATGAGATTCCCAATTCCTTTTTCTTAGTCTTTCTTAGTTTACTGCCCTAGTCAGCATTCACCAGTTCAACTGTGGGATGGAAGAAACAATGAAAGTGTTAGTAAGGACTTCTGCATGCAGAACGTGTGGAGGTAAGTGTTGTAGTACCTGGATGTGCTGAATAGCAATGCAAGTCACCTGTATTGCTTTTCTTGTTCGAAAAGTAAAATTGATGCAAAATAGTCAGGAGCCGTGAGGTGGTAGATTAATTGGATCCCCAGCACTAACAACAGGAAATAGGTGAAATTTATGTCTTCAAGGCCTCTGTCTAATCACATAATGTAACCTGAATATATTATAAAGGAACTTAGAGCAACTGAGCTTGGTAAGCATGACTTTGTGAGAAGGTGAAATGCTAAAGGCATTTTTGAAGAACAGCATTAAATAAAACATGTCTCGGGGTGATGGAAACAACCTCTGGGTAGCGTAGGTAGTAAAGGTCAAGTGAATTATTTGGGAGGAGAGAATAATAAAGAATGACTTTGCTCCTTTTGCATTGCACTTTATTGAGGCTGCAGTTGCACGCATGCCCTCCCTCCTTCTCCATCCTGGGACTTGTCAGATTTATCAGGTTTTTTTCAGCCTACCAACATGTAGGAAACTAGCCTGGCAGATAGAGGGTTTGCTAGGTAACTGTGTGTGATTATTGCTCAAAGGAGAGTCTTAGTCACAGGGGGTGACTGAAAGTACAGACTGTAATGGGGAGAGGGATGGATATATGACTGTCATCCACTGGATTGCCTCAACCAGCCGTGAAAATCCATCTTGAGAGCCTCAAGCAGCTGGTGTCACTAACCACTTCCAGTAAAAAAAAGTATGACCACCTGTGTATCTAAGCAAATCTAAACTAGTAAGAGGAAATCTTCCAAAGGGAAAGTCTCCTCCTCTACACAAGTAGTTATTGGCTGGCAGTTATAATGAATTACCATTATACATGTTTTAAGTTTGGGAAAACATGTTGCAAGACAACCTAAGAACACAGCAGAATCTCTTTACATTTCTCATTTTCCCTTACATTTAGCCTTTGTAGAATTCTTGACTGTTAAAATGTACATATAATACAATGTAATGGTTTGGAGGCTCAGCTGTAAGCTTTCTTTGACAATTTTCTTTCTTTCTTCTTTTTTTAGTGGTCTGCCTCTTATGGTTATCATCCACAAGTCTTGGTGTGGAGCTTGCAAAGGTAAGTATATTTAATACTAGAGCTTGCTGAAATTTCTAATGAACTTTTGTATACAAATCATGTAACCATGAGAAACACAAACTTTGCATTCAAAATGTAGCTAACAGTATTTGTATTTCATTTAGAGCGGTGTAACACTGCACCACTTTACCTGTTAGCGCTGCCAAAAGCCAGCCGTGCCTGAATGCCAGCGAAATAACAGCTGTAATACTGCAGTTCTGTAGTGGCTGCAATTTCTTCTGCACTTGGCTATAAAAAATGGAACAGAATGAATGGACTCGAAGAATTAAGTGTAAATTGCCTTACTTTCAGCTGGTGAGTGAGGCTTTGTCTCTCGGTATTGTGAACAAACAAGCTGGGCGTAATGGCTAAGCTGAAAGGATGAGCTAGTGGAGTGAGAATAGGGGTTTTACTGCAAGCTTTTTTGCTTCTGTTCCATTGGTTCAAGTATGACTGCAAATGGCTGTTGGCCAGGCTTCATCATATGGCTGCCCAGCAAGGATTGCTTCTGTTACCTGCTGTTCTGAGCCTGGCTTGAACGGTTTGATACATATATTCCATTTACTCACTGCTTACTGAAAAGTACCAGCTCTCCAGGGGGAGGAATGAAGTTGAGATTTTGATGCTGACCTGAAAACCTGAAATCTTTTCCACTGTCTCACACCTCTTCTTTTTCTGTGTGTGGTTTGTTTTTTTTTTTTTTTTTGTTTTCCCCTTAATTAGCTTTAAAGCCGAAGTTTGCTGAATCCAAGGAGATCTCTGAACTTGCCCATAATTTTGTTATGGTCAACCTTGAGGTAGGCTGCCCTCTGATTTTTATCCATGTACTGCCTAGTAATTAAGCATTTGGAGTCTTAACTGGTTGCATCCTGTTTTGTATACGTCCTAAATCCTGCACTCCTGAATAGGTATTCAGGACTGATTGATATAGCTGATTGTTTTAAAAATAATTTTCTCCAGTCTGTTTTTTTAATTGTATTTATAAACCTGTCTCTCTGACCTTGTCTCTTTAACACTTTGTACCTTGTGTCATTCCATTGCCACAATAAAGGAATTTGTGTTCATTCTGTCATGACGCATCAAACATTACTACTCCAAAGTGAGGCATTTTATGCAAATTGACAGAACAGGAAAAAATATTATTATTTTCACAAATGATACTTGATTAGGTAAAAATCACTTTCTTTCCTTTGAGAGTGGAAGATACTGCAGTTATCTAGTGTCTATTCAAGATGCAAATTGCTCAGGGTAAATAGAATCTGAAGGCAATATCTTGTTTCTTTAAAATGTGTTTTGTTAGGTATCTTGCTAATATGTTTCCTCTCTTCTGTCTTGTGCTGGTAGGATGATGAAGAGCCCAAGGATGAAGCCTTTAGTCCTGATGGAGGTTACATTCCCAGAATCCTTTTCATGGGTAAGGTGTCTGCAGCTATTGTATCCACTCACAGGACTGTGTTCTTATTGTTACCACCTACATTTCCTGTTTGATTTCTTGTTTCATAGACCCCAGTGGAAAAGTACACCCAGAAATCATAAATGAGAAAGGAAACCCCAGCTACAAGTATTTCTATACCAATGCTGATCAAGGTATGTACAAAGTAGTTTGAAGTGCATTTTTAGTGAGATTAAATCTGGGTGTGTCCTGCGTGAAGGACGCACCTTCACATTTGAGTGGAGAAAAATGATGATACTTTACATCATAAGTGGGAGCTGTTAGATACAACGTGAGTGAGTGGTTCTCTTATGCCTTGAACCATGTTCAGGACCATGATTCACCTTAATACCTACTATAATGTCTATAGGACCTAAACTTTTTCTCCAGTTGTGTAGTGGAAAATCATGCAATTCGCATGATCCAGCTACAAATGGTTGGGAAAAGGGTGCAGGACTGTTGGGTTTTTTTCCACAGGTTAACTTGTAGATCTGCATTCTGTACCTGTGTTGTTTTAAAACACTTTCGTTACCAGTCCACCTTGATATTTTCATCTTGAGATTAATAGTTGATATCTCTCTGTCTAATCTTTCAGTTGTCCAAGGGATGAAGGAGGCCCAGGAGAAGCTAACAGGTGATGCTTTCAAACAAAAACACCTGGGAGATGAACTATAATGAATACACTGCTGCTTTTCCATCGCTTCAAAACTCTAAAAGGAAATGATTAAGCAGACCAAGAATGTAGATGCAGTGGAGGGACATAATTCTCCTGTCAATGATGTTAGGTTAAACCCTGTTTGGACTTCACACACATACATCAATTACAGTGTTCTCTCCTCCTCTGCCTGGCAGTTTGTACTGTAATGAATGGTTATTTGCAATGAGGTAATGTGCAAACACATCAATTTTTGTGTTCGAGCAACCACTAATACTTGGTGTTAAAAGGGAGGTGCATAGGGCAAAACATTCATTTGAGGACAGTGTGATTGGATAACTAGAAGTAGCCAACATTTTGACACTTAATCAGGGTTGGATCCCTCTTTTCTCACTGGTATTATGTGATCCCATTGTTTTTACTGGGGGTTCCTATGAATGGGGCATGTTCCTGAGCCAGACATCCACAAACCGTGAATTCTGCCACTAAGCCAAGTAGAATAAATTTCATGAATGTCCAAGTAGCATGTGAAATTATTAGCTCTGCAAACATATTCTTGTGTAAAACTGTGCGTGATTCATCTTTATTTGCCTTTGGGGCAGAAATTTAACTTTTTCATTGTGCATTCACCTTTTGATTGTTTTATCAAGTGAGGGTGGGTTATGTCGAAGCTTTACGGGGATTCCCGTTTTATTCTTTGAATGTTTTTTGGCGAATGCCTTGCCATCACATTGTACTGTATTTTTGTACCAGGGTGAAAAATTAAACCTTTTTAAACATAAGCATGCAGACAGTGTTTTGTGGTAAAGGGTGTAGTTTTCCATTCTTAAGGAGGAAGGAATATATTTTTGTTTATGTTGCAGTGGTTATTAATGTTGAATGTCACAGCCGAAGAAGGTTTCTAGCTTTATAATTAAAAGACAACAGTTGGTTTTCCATATAATTACAATTCAGCCATTCTTATACTACCTATATTGTTGAGGGCAGGGTAATACCTAGTGTTCATCTACTGGAACTGAAAAGAAAAATACAGGGGGAATAAAATCACCTCTCTTGACCTACTGATAATGCTTCTCCTAACGCAGCCCAGGATGCTGTTGGCCTTTGCCACAAGGGCACATTGCTGGGTCATGGTCAACTTGTTCTCGAGCTGGACTCCCACGTCCTCCTCCTCAAAGCTGTTTTCCAGACTGTCAGCCCCTATCCTGTACTGGTGCACAGGTTGTTCCTCCCTAGGTGAAGGACTTTGCATTTCCCTTTCTCGAACCTCCTGACTCCCCTCTCTGCCCATTTCTTCAGACTGTTGAGGTCCTGAATGGCAGCACAACCATCTGATTATCAACTACTTTCCCCAGTTTTGCATCATCTGCAGGTTTGCTGAGAGTGGACTCTGTCCATTCATCTAGGTTGTTAATGAAGATGTTAAAGTATCAACCCCAGGGGTACTCCACTAGTGACAAACCCCTTTCAGCCCAGCAGCTCTGCCAGTTTTCTGTCCACTTCACTGCCCATTTATTTAGCTTATACTTCATCAGTTTATCTATGAGGATGTTACGGGAGATAGTGTCGAAAGCCTTAGTAAACCCAAAATTAGCAACACCTACTGCTCTCCACTCATCCACCGAACTAGTCATCTAAAGGAAGAAATCCGGTCCAAAAGGCACATGCCGTAACTTCCCATAACAAACACAGAGAAAAGAAATCCGGTCCGAAAGGCACATGCCGTAACTTCCCGTAACAAACACAGAGAAATAATTTTCTACAGATAATTTTTGAAGAGCTATCTGAGGACATTAGCTGGGGAAAACTGTTGTATACAATAAACCCAACTTGTCTACTGAATCCATTTTTACTGTTCAGTAGCATTATGAATTTTACTTTCCAGACCAGTCTGCCTTGAAGGGATTTTAGACATCAAAACTCAATTGGGCACTGAAAGACAAGGACTCAGTGGAAATAATGGGGTTATTACACATTACAGTAACCCTGCTCAGCTACTAAGTTATTCTACAGGTTTTATCCTCTGCTTCTCTTGCAAATTGTCTAATAAATTAGCGATGAAATTGAACTCAGCAACTGTTCTCAAGTTGTATCAGCCTTCAAAGTAAATAATTCTGTGTAAGTCCTGAAAAAGGATTTGTGTTTTGCAAAATTGTCTTTTTTTCCCCAGCTGTATCAGTTGACCTAATAAAAAATCGGTCCTGTCTGATGCTCCTTATTTCATTTATAGCCTTAGATTGACATGACTGTAAAAAATCATTGCTATATCTTTTTTAGTTGCCACCAGGGGGAGGACTCCGCTTGTTCATCTGGGCTATGAGTCAACAAATAATAATTAAAAAAAAAAACCATCTCTGATGTGAAATAGCAGGGTGCACCTATGAGATTTTTCCAGGCACGCTTTTGCAGTAGCTCTGCCCTTGTCTCATATCTGCAGTGAAATTGTAGCCTGTGAGATGTAAGTCGTTGGTCCCTTTCTTTGCAAAATGCTCTGATGTCAGAAGCAACATGGCCTCAAAGTAATTTTTAAAAAGTTCTTCATCTAGAGAGAGCTCCCTTCACTGACAGATGTAGGCAATGCGCTTCAATCTTTACATTCAAGACCATCCTGATTCAAAATTACACTCCTTCATCTCTTCTCTTATGCATCTCCTCTCCTTCAGCACTTTATGCCTTCCAGACTTGCTACTTCTGAAGGAAAAAATATTCCACAATCCTTTTTCCTTTGTTATTTGACTGCCGCCTTTCTTTCTAATCCTTTCTGCCCTCTATATGTTCAGACATGGTGAGCTGGTACAGCTTCCCCACCCTCCCTTCTACTTGCTTTTTTGTGAGACCGTGCTTTTGTCCTCTGCAAGATGGAGCTTGGCACTCGCTAGCCTGCTTGGAGTTTAGCTGGGGTCTCAGTAGAATATGGCATATGTGCTGCCACAGCTTGCTTGCTAGGGGCAGTTAGCAAGTGTGAAAGCTGTTTCACATCTCTGGGTTGCAGGGTAAACTTACTTTTGATCTGTTACTTAAATATTTTTCTCTTTCTACCAGTTAGTTTTATACCTGGACATTTTAGTTGCTAACTCCTAATGAAGATTCTTTACATCCTTCTGCTTTTTAATCTAGATCAGCTGATAATGCTGGTTGGCATCTTCTTGTGTGCAAAGGACACAAAAACCATCCATCCAACAGTTGGTTTGTATATGTTGTTTAACTTTATGGACACAAGCAACTCCACGGGGTTTAGAGGAGCTGCTTACAGGTCAGTGTTTGTTGTAGTTGCATTTAAAGATAATTATACACTGCAGCAGCTCAACAGTGCACAGTAACCAAGGCCTCAGATTACTTTGTCTCCATCAGCTTTCTTTCATGTGCTGCCCATCTGTGTATGACTTGCAGTAAACCTGCATACTTCTGTAACTTCTTCAGATGCATCCTAGAAATCTGCTTGGATTCTCAGCTTCTACTCCTTTCATGGTGATAACAAAACTCAAAGACACTTCAAAATTCTCAGTGTAGACCTAGGGAACTGCCAGGCCAAATCTATCTCATGTAAACAAACATGCTGTCAGCTCCCTTTCTCCCAGAAACAACCCACAGAGGAAAAAAAATCCAAAGTTAATTAAAGAGTGACGGGATTGCAGCTAGCCATCTGGCTGCCTGGGAGCAGAGGTTGCTCTGTGCACCTGGGGCTGAACAGGCTTCAAGGAAGTGTCAGCTAGAGACTTGAGAAACCTTTCCTTTGCCATGCTTAGCAGCAGAGAACAAAAGGGCAACAAACAAGAACGCCAGCACGGCCAGAGTGTCTGTCCGTCATCCTGGCATGCTGAGTTTAGGAGACATCTACTTCAAATGCACTTTTGTCCCCATGGGTGTTTGTCTGCCATTGTATCTACCCTGTATCAAACTGCTAATGAGCTTCATTCATTGTCTTCATTTACAGCTTGCGTAATGAATAGCTCTGAAGTGAGATACAATTAAACCAGTAGGAACGCAAGGTCTTATATCCTTGGAGGTGATGAAACTTTTCTCAGCTTTCGGCAAGAGGAGAGGCACTTGCATTTGCATTATGCTGTGATATTTATTTGCAGCCGACCCAGTATTATGCCCGATTGGGTTTGCCCAACCAGGAGAACCACTCCAGGGCTGTTCCTTGACAGCCATGGCTATAGGTGGATCAGAACTTGAGACCTGAGGATGGAGATTCAGAAACCAAGAAAGTAATTAGACCAAGCAGAATTCTATCCAGAGGGCCGGATAAAAGGGGGAACTTCACTGCCAGTTCATGCTCATCTCAAAGAAAGCAAAGCCAAAGGATGAAGTTTATCTAAAAGGTCGCACCCCACTTCCAGACAGCTGCGTAAGTTCACTTTGGGGTTAACTAGACAGGGCAGCTTGCTGCCTGGAGGGAACCAGGAAACAGTCATGAAGGTCTGTCAAAATGGTAAAAGTCACTTTGTCTCAAAACTATTTGGCATATTATCTCATTCCCCCTTTCTTCCTCCAAGAAACAGGTGCTGATTGGTTAAGCAGTTTAGTCAAATAAACTCAGCTTGCTTTTCCTTTCAAAGTTTGTCTAGCCTAAGGAGTGGCTGCATACAGTTCCCAGGCCTGCCATTGTCCAGGGAGCACCACTCCTACCAGAGGTGGTGATTCACTCTTGCAGAGCCAGCCTGGTGCCACCACGTCAGCATGACCCGAGGAGGAATCTCCACTGCTGGCCAGCTCCTGTGGCCTGTCACAGGCAGTGGGGACAGGGTCCAAGACTTGAATGATCCTCTCCAGGCTGTGACAAATGTCATAGCACAATTTTGTAATGGCTAAATACACAGTAGGTTCCTTCGATAGGGATCAAAAAAAAAGGAGACCCCAAACTTCTCCGTTCATAACCAGGCTGGAAGCTGGGACTGGCTGACCTGTGTTTACAGTGTTTCACGTCCTGAACACACCACCCTGTGCTGGCACTGGTCCCAGGATGGGGCAGAGAGGCCCATCAGGCAAGGTGCAGGGAGCAGGCAGCAGGCAGGGTGCATCCCAGGCGGCATGGGATCGACGAGTGGGTGGGTGCTGTAAAAACAGTCAAGCGTTTCTGAGCTGCTCCTGTGTTCTTTCCTCTGACCAGCACAGGTGTCTCCTCCTCCATTCCCATGTCTGTGCCACGATGTGGGGGATGAAGGGCAGCAACTTCCTAGAGATTCCCCGTTCTCCAAAGGGCATGATCCCATTGCTGCAGCTCCAAGCCAGGGCAAGGGAGTGAAGGCCCATGGGAGCTGTGGGAGGAGCTGGCACAGGGCTGAAGGGGCAGGACAGCCCAGGCTGAATTTGGCTAAGGCTGTAGGTAACTGCTTGCTGGTTAGAGATCGTTTGTTGGTATATACTTATTTTTGGACCATTTTGCACATGCACGGCATGGCGTAGGTAGACGTGCTGCAAAAGTATTAATTGACAAGGACTGTAGATGTTCTCCCTGCTTTCTGAGTGTGTTTCAGGACACAATGTGCTGTGCATAAAAGAAGCTGCATTGGCAACACAGTCAAATTTGTATGTCACTTTATTGTGCTATTTCTAAATTGTGAACAGTTTTCAAAATCCCATTTGTAAGGATTTTGGTGCCTTAGCTCTGTTAAAGAGACTGAAATTTGCACAGGTCTTGAGGACACAGCACAGGGCATACATACTATTTATTCCACACTGAAGTGAAGAAGCACCTGGGTGAGTGCTACCTATTTAAATACGGAGGATTTTGTTTTCTCCTTGTAATTGCCCATGTTTTCACCTAGCTGCCCCAGATGACAGATGGTAACGAGCTGAAACCACTGCTCTGTGTGCAAACCGTGTTTCTTAAGGATACTACCTTGTCTATGTGTGACCAGTGCTTTTCATGAGCTTAGACAATGGATCTTTTAGTCTCAGGGCCATTGGTATTATTACTACTTACGGCATTGCA